GCCCCAAATGGATATCTTACGTTGAAAGTAGTTTGCTCTACGTCGCCCCAAATGGATATCTTACGTTGAAAGTAGTTTGCTCTACGTCGCCCCAAATGGATATCTTACGTTGAAAGTAGTTTGCTCTACGTCGCCCCAAATGGATATCTTACGTTGAAAGTAGTTTGCTCTACGTCGCCCCAAATGGATATCTTACGTTGAAAGTAGTTTGCTCTACGTCGCCCCAAATGGATATCTTACGTTGAAAGTAGTTTGCTCTACGTCGCCCCAAATGGATATCTTACGTTGAAAGTAGTTTGCTCTACGTCGCCCCAAATGGATATCTTACGTTGAAAGTAGTTTGCTCTACGTCGCCCCAAATGGATATCTTACGTTGAAAGTAGTTTGCTCTACGTCGCCCCAAATGGATATCTTACGTTGAAAGTAGTTTGCTCTACGTCGCCCCAAATGGATATCTTACGTTGAAAGTAGTTTGCTCTACGTCGCCCCAAATGGATATCTTACGTTGAAAGTAGTTTGCTCTACGTCGCCCCAAATGGATATCTTACGTTGAAAGTAGTTTGCTCTACGTCGCCCCAAATGGATATCTTACGTTGAAAGTAGTTTGCTCTACGTCGCCCCAAATGGATATCTTACGTTGAAAGTAGTTTGCTCTACGTCGCCCCAAATGGATATCTTACGTTGAAAGTAGTTTGCTCTACGTCGCCCCAAATGGATATCTTACGTTGAAAGTAGTTTGCTCTACGTCGCCCCAAATGGATATCTTACGTTGAAAGTAGTTTGCTCTACGTCGCCCCAAATGGATATCTTACGTTGAAAGTAGTTTGCTCTACGTCGCCCCAAATGGATATCTTACGTTGAAAGTAGTTTGCTCTACGTCGCCCCAAATGGATATCTTACGTTGAAAGTAGTTTGCTCTACGTCGCCCCAAATGGATATCTTACGTTGAAAGTAGTTTGCTCTACGTCGCCCCAAATGGATATCTTACGTTGAAAGTAGTTTGCTCTACGTCGCCCCAAATGGATATCTTACGTTGAAAGTAGTTTGCTCTACGTCGCCCCAAATGGATATCTTACGTTGAAAGTAGTTTGCTCTACGTCGCCCCAAATGGATATCTTACGTTGAAAGTAGTTTGCTCTACGTCGCCCCAAATGGATATCTTACGTTGAAAGTAGTTTGCTCTATGTCGCCCCAAATGGATATCTTACGTTGAAAGTAGTTTGCTCTACGTCGCCCCAAATGGATATCTTACGTTGAAAGTAGTTTGCTCTATGTCGCCCCAAATGGATATCTTACGTTGAAAGTAGTTTGCTCTATGTCGCCCCAAATGGATATCTTACGTTGAAAGTAGTTTGCTCTACGTCGCCCCAAATGGATATCTTACGTTGAAAGTAGTTTGCTCTACGTCGCCCCAAATGGATATCTTACGTTGAAAGTAGTTTGCTCTACGTCGCCCCAAATGGATATCTTACGTTGAAAGTAGTTTGCTCTACGTCGCCCCAAATGGATATCTTACGTTGAAAGTAGTTTGCTCTACGTCGCCCCAAATGGATATCTTACGTTGAAAGTAGTTTGCTCTACGTCGCCCCAAATGGATATCTTACGTTGAAAGTAGTTTGCTCTACGTCGCCCCAAATGGATATCTTACGTTGAAAGTAGTTTGCTCTACGTCGCCCCAAATGGATATCTTACGTTGAAAGTAGTTTGCTCTACGTCGCCCCAAATGGATATCTTACGTTGAAAGTAGTTTGCTCTACGTCGCCCCAAATGGATATCTTACGTTGAAAGTAGTTTGCTCTATGTCGCCCCAAATGGATATCTTACGTTGAAAGTAGTTTGCTCTACGTCGCCCCAAATGGATATCTTACGTTGAAAGTAGTTTGCTCTACGTCGCCCCAAATGGATATCTTACGTTGAAAGTAGTTTGCNCTCCCTTCTCCCCGACAATCAATTGTTTAGCTCAGTCCTCCCTTCTCCCCGACAATCAATTGTTTAGCTCAGTCCTCCCTTCTCCCCGACAATCAATTGTTTAGCTCAGTCCTCCCTTCTCCCCGACAATCAATTGTTTAGCTCAGTCCTCCCTTCTCCCCGACAATCAATTGTTTAGCTCAGTCCTCCCTTCTCCCCGACAATCAATTGTTTAGCTCAGTCCTCCCTTCTCCCCGACAATCAATTGTTTAGCTCAGTCCTCCCTTCTCCCCGACAATCAATTGTTTAGCTCAGTCCTCCCTTCTCCCCGACAATCAATTGTTTAGCTCAGTCCTCCCTTCTCCCCGACAATCAATTGTTTAGCTCAGTCCTCCCTTCTCCCCGACAATCAATTGTTTAGTTCAGGGATCCTCAGATGATGTAATAGGTTAGTTCAAGGATCCTCAGATTACGTAATATTGCAGTTTGGTTACAGGTAATGCACGACGACACTCACGCAATTTGTTTAGTTCATGACCTACTTTAGCTGCATGAATATGGGAAATGATCGTTTTAGCTTGTACCGCTGACTGTCCACTGTACCATTATTTTTTCCGTTGAACCTGCGGGTATGAATTAAACCGGGGCTTAGCCGGAAGAATATATATTTTTTTTTACACCCGATCCGGGTATCCTCGGGGAAATGCCCGGTGGGTCACAGTGTTACCAAAAAGCAGTTCATTTATCATTTTCTATTACAACAGTTCTACACCACACCCGTGGCTCTTTGATTAATGGAATAGTCGCCTTTCCTTAAAGATAAAAAAATTCAACCTTTTTACCGGAATTCAGACGTCATGCATGAAAGCGCGCTTGGTTATAGCCTCGCCCCCCTCCCCCTCAGTGTTATTAATATAAAACACGGGGAGTGGGGGGGGGGATGGATTAAAAATCAGAAATGGAAGCGGGGTGAACCAGGACAAAGCTATATGTAATAGAGTATGTTTAAATTGCAGTAAAGAGAGGCCAGTGTTGAGATTAACACAGTGCCGCATTGCATGCCCCTTGTATCTTAAGTTTGAACTCCTATTTATATATATATATATATATATATATATATATATNTTTGAACAACCCCCCCCCCAGGGCGCTGCTGCGAGAACCCTGCAGAAGATCTATCTCTAATTTTATTTCCAAGATTGTTGTATTGACTGGTAGCAGATGTTGTCTTATGACATAGACAAGGTATGTGTTTGTGTGGAAGAAGTTGAGGGGGGGTGGGTTGGCCGTGTGATTTTAATATATAAACACAATTGATATTTTATTCTGATCCCCTGCATTAACAAAAAAAAAAAAAAGAGCACGTGTAGTCTTTAAAAGAAATCCCGTTACAAATGTACGCCAGAGTGGCACGTGCACGTGGGCGAAGCATGGCTTGAATTAGAGCAACAGCTGCCCCCTGCCGTGGGACGGTTTGATTGGCTGGGCCTCGGAATAACCTTAACTCTCGACCAGGCTGCTGGCCCGCTTCGAATGGACAAATATCGGACACCAATCAATCGCAGTGTTTTCACCGTACGAGATCTTTTTTGCCATCCCAGCTTTGCGCGGCTCTGGGTCCAGGTAAAGAGCAAGGATCTTTATTTGACGAGGTGGCGTTGAACAGAATTGACGTTTGCAATGTTGGGGGGGGGGGTGTTAACCTTTCTTCTTTTCATATAGTGGTCACACCGCGGGCTGTACCTAACTTATGTATATAAAAGGTCATACTGGCTAAATTACAAATAAAAAGAAAATAATATGTATATATACATATATATGTATATATATATATATATATATATGTATGTATATATATATATATATAAATTAAAGACGCTTTTACAAAAAAGTACTTGAAAGTATACAATAAATTTCCCTCCAAACTTGAGAGTTGTTACTGTCATGTGACTAAAAGAAAGAGCGTTTGGCGTCACTGGTCACCTACTGATCAAGAAGGGTTGTATTGTCGTGAGGGGAGAGTTGGGTTGTTTTTGTTTTGTTTGGTTGTTTTTTTTTGGTGGGGGGGGGAGGAGGGTAAATGTACTAAGATTCCGCGTAATTTGAGATTGGGCGGTAGTTTAAACTTGAGATGCAGAGAGTTTTACCACACACAAACTAACAAATGGACAAAGTAACCTGAAAACAATGTGTTAAAAACTGTCCGACTGGCTAATGAACCTGTCACACTGGCTAGGTTACAATAACTGTCACACTGGCTAATTAACCTAATTGTCACACTGGCTAGGTTACAATAACTGTCACACTGGCTAGGTTACAATAACTGTCCCACTGGCTAATTAACCTAATTGTCACACTGGCTAGCCTAAAATAACTCACACTGGCTAGCCTACAATAACTGTCACACTGGCTAGTTTACAATAACTGTCACACTGGCTAGGTTACAATAACTGTCACACTGGCTAGGTTACAATAACTGTCACACTGGCTAGTTTACAATAACTGTCACACTGGCTAGGTTACAATAACTGTCACACTGGCTAGCCTACAATAACTGTCACACTGGCCTAACCATTGTTTTGATCTAACATCCCTGCCATCGTATTGATTTAACATCCTCACCACTTTTTTGCTCTAACATCCTTACCATTGTTTTGGTCTACCATCCCTACCATTGTTTTGGTCTAACATCCCTACCATTGTTTTGGTCTACCATCCCTACCATTGTTTTGGTCTACCATCCCTACCATTGTTTTGGTCTACCATCCCTACCATTGTTTTGGTCTAACATCCCTACCATTGTTTTGGTCTACCATCCCTACCATTGTTTTGGTCTACCATCCCTACCATTGTTTTGGTCTACCATCCTTACCATTGTTTTGGTCTACCATCCTTACCATTGTTTTGGTCTACCATCCTTACCATTGTTTTGGTCTACCATCCCTACTATTGTTTTGGTCTACCATCCTTACCATTGTTTTGGTCTACCATCCCTACCATTGTTTTGGTCTAACATCCTCACCACTTTTTTGCTCTAACATCCTTACCATTGTTTTGGTCTAACAACCCTATCAATGTTTGCCGGTTTGCTTCAGGTGCTAGCAGTGAGGGAGGTGGTACCAGGCAAGAGTAACAATGAGGTGGTGATGGTCCTACAGTATTATGACTACAGTGTGGAGAGAGCGATTCAAGCCTACCTAGAAGGTAACAAGATGGCTAGCATTTAGTGATATCCAATTTTTCATTTTCAGTATTCCAGTCTCTGAGCTGGACACTTAGAATAATAGCCACCCTGTACTATTTAATTTATCACCTAACTGGTATTTTTAAATAATTGTAAAAATTTCAAGAAGCCTGTAGTATCATAATTATTACCCAGTCAAGGGTGCCCAGATAGCCTAGTGTTCCCAAATAGCTTAAAGCAACCAGTCAAGGGTGCCCAGATAGCCTAGTGTTCCCAAATAGCTTAAGGCAACCAGTCAAGGGTGCCCAGATAGCCTAGTGTTCCCAAATAGCTTAAGGCAACCAGTCAAGGGTGCCCAGCCTAGTGTTCCCAAATAGCTTAAGGCAACCAGTCAAAGGTGACCAGATCACCCAAGATGCCCAGATAGCCTAGTGTTCCCAAATAGCTTATGGCAACCAGTCAAGGTTTCCCAGATAGCCTAGTGTTCCCAAATAGCTTAAGGCAACCAGTCAAGGGTGCCCAGATAGCCTAGTGTTCCCAAATAGCTTAAGACAACCAGTCAAGGGTGCCCAGATAGCCTAGTGATCCCAAATAGCTTAAGGCAATCAGTCAAGGGTGCCCAGAATAGCCTAGTGTTCCCAAATAGCTTAAGGCAACCAGTCAAGGATGCCCAGATCACCCAAGATGCCCAAATAGCCTAGTTTTCCCAAATAGCTTAAGGCAACCAGTCAAGGGTGCCCAGATAGCCTAGTGTTCCCAAATAGCTTAAGGCAACCAGTCAAGGATGCCCAGATCACCCAAGATGCCCAAATAGCCTAGTTTTCTCAAATAGCTTAAGGTAACCAGTCAAGGACGCCTAGATAACCCAAGATGCCCAGAAATGCTAGGTTGCCCTGGATAGTACATTGTGCTGCCTTAAAAATTGTGCCTCAGAATCTGGTATTGTAGGTTAAATATTCTCACAGTACCTAAATGTTATCTCTGCCTAGACAGGAAATGTATCTGACGAGTGTAACACTGGCCAGAAGGACTCGTGGGGGACTTGTTAGAGTGTCTTTCATGCTATCAGTTCGTGCCCTCTGGTACTCTGGACTTTTTCTTTCTTCCCTATCATCTCATAAATTATTTATTTTTCTCATCTACTCTTGTGTACAAATCATAAGAACATTCCACCAAGTCCTCTACTGAGCTGTACTGGATACTGAGAGATGAAATGCTATACATTTTCATGTACTTAATCTCAAATCTTAGATATTTGGTATTTAAAAACATTACCAAGTTTTCTCACAATTATATAGGTCAGTGTATCCCAAACTTTTGACATCTGTGTACCTCTGTAGATAATGTTCCTAACAATGAGTACCCCTCGTTTAAAAAAAAATTGCATATACTTCAATAACAATACAAAAAAAAAATTTTTTTTTTTCCTTTGCAGCCCGTTACCCCCCCCCCGGCCAAACTTTTTCCCATACCCCAGGGGTACACCTGCCACACTTTCGGAAACACTGATATATGTCATTAAATCATCTGGAAAGGGATTTCTTCAAAGCATATATTTATTGCAGAATTTGACCTAGTTTTGTTCATTTACATGGTGCTGGCTATTTAAATAGTTAAAAGTCAGATTTGCAGGTGACAGTGCAAATAATAAAGTTGTCAATGAACTTAAATTGGACATCTTAACACTTTTAGGTTGGGAATTGTGCTTTCAATAAAACTGAAGGGAAAGGCTGCTTCTTGTAATGGTCAATTTGAGTTTTTGCCACCAAATAAGTTAGCAATTATTTTTAGTATCTTTCAGTGTAGCAGCAGTGCATTCACTGAAGTGCATTGGTACAAGATAACTGTATGAGTATCAACAACTGGATGCAATATTTGTGGAAGATAGCTAGTTTGGTATCACAGAACAGTGCAGTCACTGGAGTAAAACTATAGGATACCACTGCTCTGCATCAGCTGAAGAGTTGACAGCTTGTCCAATATTTAGTCTCCCTTTGCACTTGTACTTACAGAAGTTTTGTGTTACACCAGCAGTCTTGTTTGATGTGGCCTAAAGTACCAAACACGGCTCTCTGTGCTTGTTCCCCTTGTTTTATTCATTCTTCTAGTTACAGCCAAATCCTTCTTTTGTCTAAGATCAGAAGGAGCTTGAAGATAAACATTTTCACAATAGCTCTTCTGATCCATACAACGTGGCAAAATTCAAACAGCTTATTACGGAATAATTATTATTAATTAATTTTTTTTTGCACTGATAAATTTCTAAAACACAATTGGGGGAAAAAAAAATGAATGGGTGGGTGGGTAGGGGTGTGCCAGGTTGTTCTCTCTTTATTTTTTAAATATAATTTTTTTTTAAATTATTTTTTTTGTGCTCCTGACTTTTTAAGTGTCTTATAAATTTATTTTTCAACCCAAATGGACACTGGACTTGATAGCTTCTATCTAGCTCAGCGGCTCTCAATCTGTAGGTCGCGACCTCTTTGGGGGTCCAATGGCCCTTTCACAGGGTTCGCCTAAGACCTTCCGAAAACACATATTGTCTACTGTTCAGAAGTAGCAACGAAAATAATTTGGGGTTGGGGGTCGACACAACATGAGGCACTGTATGAAGGGGTCAGGGCATTAGAAAGCTTGAGAACCACTGACCTAGCTGTTGTAAAGCTCAATCAACATTTTTTGAATACTCATTGTATACATAAGGGGTGGCCAACCTTTTCAGCAGGCAGGTCAAATTTCAGAAATAATATTTCCTGCTGGGCCATACACCTAATTTTAAAAAAAAAAAATTAAAGTTAACAAGCAAGCGTACTACAGCTTCCACCACATGACCACATCAGCTTCCTGATAGGTGAGATCATGGTCTAACTCTTGCCTGGTTTCATGTAAACAAAACAAGAAATATTTATAATTTATACATGTAAGTATTTCTTTAAAGAAAATAAAACATAACTGAAAATGAAACAATAGACAATTTTGAAAGTGAGACATGTGACTTTGTTTAGCAGAACTAAGGGCATCAAAATTGACCTCGACTGATGTTGTCGCAATACACAAACAGTTTTCCAATGAACATCAGTAATCCGTGTTCTCACTTGTGATTTGATGTGCTTTATATGACTTAAAAGCTGTTCACACGCATAGGTGTTTACAAATAGTGTAACTATTGACAGAGCATGTTTGTAAAATCCAGGATATTTATCCTCGTACACAAACAAATTTCATAGAACTCTTCCAAACAAGTTTGATGGAATTTCTCCTTTAACTGTGTATCAGCTCACATTTCACATGTTCCATTTGTAATCTTCCTGGTAATAAATTCACGTCTATCGCAAATGGAGTTGCAAATGCACAAAAAGTATGTTTTGTTTTTTAAATCCTGAAATTGGTTTTTCAAATTCGAGGTTTAAGTCAGATATCAAAAAAGCGTAGTTATCCACCGCCTCCTGTTTGACGTCTGGTTGCAATGACAATGTAGGAAAATGACTAACAAAACTGTTTGTCCTTAACTGTTGTTCCCAAAGACAAAGTTTCATTTGAAACTCAGATATATGTTCATAACTCTTATTAATAAATTGATCTTTCCCTTGTAGACGAGTATTAACAATATTTAGGTGGCTAGTTAAATCGATGAGAAATGCAAACTGGGATACTTATTGACTTGCCTGCTAAGAATGATAGTATTTCTTGCTCCACATCAAATGCTCTTTTCAAAATTTTGGCACGGGTCAGCCATCTTACTTCTGCATAAAATGTAACGACATTAGAATCTGAGTCCAAATACTTGAGAAATTCTTGTAACTGACTGTGTTTCAACTCTTTTTGAAATATGAAGATCACTATTTTGGTGACCACTTTCATCTCATGGTCCATAACATAAATTCTCCTGATGAATAATGCAATGAAAATTTAGCGTTGAAGTATTACCGACTTTGGAGGCCTTGTTTTCAATCAATTTAACTAAACCTTCGTGTTTCCCAACCATTGGTGGAGCATCATCCGCTGTTAAGCCCGAGAAGTTGTTAAGTTGTAACAACAAGCGATTCAATGTCAATGTAACTTCCTCTGACAAATCTCTTTACTTAGTAGTGTCCTTAAGTGGATACAATTCCACTAATTCTTCTGTCTTTTTAAAATGGACATCAACACATCAACATAGAAATTGCCAGTTGGGCATTATCTGCCTTATCTGCGCTTTCATCCAATGTTAGAGCATAAAATATAAACTCGGATGTTCGACTTTTCAAATTGTCTTCAAAATGTTTTCCAATGTTGTCCACACGCTTAGTAAAAGTCTGATGAGACAGACTTATTTTTGATAAATCCTTCTTCTTTTCTGGACACATAATTTCAAGAACTCTCCAAACATTCATTAACCATTTCACCATCTGAATATGGCTTTGATTTATTTTTTTTGCTAGTATCATGGCTACAGTATGCAAGATATTTCAAATTTCTCTTAGCTATAATTTAAAAATATTTAACATGAACAACTCATGATGTAAGGTTCTATTGGTGATATGTACAATAAAGTAACATTTATATTCATTTGACCTAGCCTTGCGGGACCGCAAAATGACTCCCGGCGGGCGGCTTGCGGCACGCATGTTAGCCACCCCTGATATACATGATCCCGCCATGGTGGACTAATGAAGTTTGTTGTTGTTAAAGAGCAGGATATTTTTGCTAATGATGTTTTGGTTGTAATGTTGTTTACTATTGACTCATGGTTTTAACTTTGTTTACTAATGGCTCATGGTAACAGATGGAGCAAAGGGGGCTCTTCAAGAATGGAACTTTACCGGGACAAAGGTCAGCCTTTTTATTCTCTCAAACTGTCCATTGTTAGAGATTTGAAACCATTTCAGTTTGTTAATTAGGATGCTTATTTTTATTTTTTCTAAAAACAATTTTGCAAAGCATTTGGAACTAGATTTTACAGAAGTTTGATTTTTTTTAAATTGTGTTTATATCCTATGTGTTGATTTTATTCCCCCATATCAATGCGAACTCAACTTTTACATAGTGGTTGCTGGGTTTCTGAGTGGTCTAAACTGATTCAATCCAAACAGCTGGTGGTCTGGAGTTCAATCCCCACCAAAGCCAAGACAAACCAAAAATCACAAGCACTCCTCTAAGAGTAGGAAAACTCTGCGTTCAAACCAGACTCCATAATGTTCAATAATTTGATCACGGGCCCTCAAAATATAGGAAAAAAACAGAAAATTAGAAAAAGTGACTGCATCTAAATGTTTAACAACATGAACTTGTGTGTTTCATTAAGTAATCAACAAGTCCTTATTTTTGAGAAGCCAGCAAACAATATTTACAAGAAGTGCTCTGTTGTTTTGACCTCCCCATCTCATATTTGTCCCCCCTCTCATGACAAAGTGCTCTGTTGTTTTGACCTCCCCATCTCATATTAGTGCCCCCTCTCTTGACAAAGTGCTCTGTTGTTTTCACCTCCCCATCTCATATTTGTCCCCCCTCTTTTGACAAAGTGCTCTGTTGTTTTGACCCCCCCCCTCATCTCATATTTGTCCCCCCCTCTCTTGACAAAGTACTCTTTTGTTTTGACCTCCCCATCTCATATTTGTCCCCCCCATTTAATATTTGTACATCTCCTGCAGCAGCCCAAAAAACGAAAGAATAAAAAGAAAGCCAATGTTGAGAAGCCAAGCGACAAGCCCAGCACATCACCTGCCAGCCCAACAGCCGAGGTGAAGGCAGAGCCTATAGTCAATGGGAAGTCTGGCCTTCCTAACGGTGACCTCGCCCACAGTGAGTTTAAATAGCTAAATATCTTACCTTACTAGGGCTAGCTCATATCTTACTCGACCAGGGCTTATCTATTATCCTACCTTACCAAGGTTACCTTACCAATGCTACCCAATATCTTACCATACCAATGCTACCTGATATCTCACCTTACCAATGCTACCTGAAATCTTACCATACCAATGCTACCTGATATCTCACCTTACCAATGCTACCTGAAATCTTACCTTACCAAGGCTATCTAATATCTTACCTGACCAATGCTACCTGATGTCTTAGCTTACCAATGCTACACAATATCTTACCTTACCAAGACTTACTATCTGTTATCTTACCTAATATCTTACCAAAGAAAGTAAACATTGGTCAGAGGCTTCAACCTCAAATTTGCTTCCCCCCAACCCTTTGCATGGTTATCTACTCAATGAATTATTAACAAACTCGTGGCATACATGGTGTCCACACACCAGTTCTTGAACCAGTATCAAAAGGATTGAGGTCTGATGGCATAGGTTTATGTTTAAATCAAGTCTTCACTTTGTTTCTGGTTAAACTAAATGCTGAGTTGTCAAGGTCTGTTTGAATCATTGATCCAATGTATGACGTTTAATAGAATCTAGAATTACTTGTGCTTTAGAGACATATGCAACATTTTTCTAACCACTCTCACTTTCGAACTAACCCAAAAGTTCCCAAATCTTTATGATTCTCTGCACCTTTGCCGAATCCAGGTTTTCACAAGGCGCCCTGTGTCAAATTTTAACAATTAGCCTGCGCTGAAAGAGTGTTAAAATTTTGTTATCAAAGGGTTAGATAAACAAAAAAAATGAAATTACTTATGAAGGTCACTAAGAGCCATCTACTTACCATATGTAAAGGTTTTCAGCAAATAGTTATTAATCTAGTGAGCTACTTCCTCACACAAGGTTGTGTAAGGCTCCATATCAAGGAGATACCATTATGAAATTTCAGTAGTAGTTTGCTGTGCCTCTGTGAGGAAGTGGTGGCTCCCTAAGGAAGCTGTGCGCCGATGAGGAGCAGTGGCTCCCCGATACTTACTAAGAAATAATTCATATTAATGTGTTGTGTGTTTTAAACTTGACTTTTCATTTCTTTTTCACAATTATATATAAAAAAGAAAGCCTTTGTGGCAGTTGGTTTACAGAAATATTGATCTGTTTTCTTTCTTTTTTCAAAAAAAAAATGATATTTTTTTTATGCATCAGAATGTCCATCAAAAATGCAGAAGTAAATTCAAATTTGCAAAACGTTATTGTCTTGTCTTCACGCTGCCATATTGGCCAATAAGAGCATTGTTGACTCTCATCTTGTTTGATGGCATTCCAAATATAATTTTATGGGTTTTTTTTTTTTTTTTTAAACCCTATGTCAGGCGCACATATGTCAGATGTTGTCTCCCCGGTGGACTTGACTTCAGCCGCTCAGAAGTCATCACAGGAAGGGACGCAAGCAGCTTTTTTTTTTTTTTTTTTTTTTTATAAAAAAAAAAATATTTTTTTTTTGTTTTTTTTTTTTTTTTTTTTTAAACCCTATGTCAGGCGCACATATGTCAGATGTTGTCTCCCCGGTGGACTTGACTTCAGCCGCTCAGAAGTCATCACAGGAAGGGACGCAAGCAGCGACCGCCTCCTCTGTAACCTCAGCAGCACCAGAAGCCAAGGGGAGCAGTAATGCCGATCCCACAGTACCAGAGGCTCTGCCACAGAGGCAGTCGCACAAGGGCAGGGGCCACGTTGGTGAGTTGTCATAAACATGCCACCCCAACACTGTGTTGGGTTAATGACATTGAAAAATACAAAATAGCAAAACAAAACCTGTTCAGACCATCAAGATCACTTGTTAGAATTTGTTTGGATTTTTTAGTTGGTGCTTTTCGAAGAAAAAAATAATCATTTAAAGTTTTGTTTGGAAATAAAATTCATAAGTGCTTCTGATGTGACATTTTTTCAACTGATGAAAATCCTGTGCCAGCAACCAAAATATTTTTAAAAATTCTTACATTCCCTAAATAATTTTTAAACAGAAGAATTTTTTCTAATACATGTGAACAAAGAGATCAATTTTAATGATATTGGTGATTTTTCAAGGTGCACTAGGCGTAGTTGGTTAATTTATTTGTGTGGTGGCTGGTGATGTGTAAAGGGTGGGGTTGGAGGTGTTGGTGGTGTGTAAGATTTTTGTTAGGGGCTGGTGGTGCGTAGCATTCTTGTGACCTGGCTCTATCTTGTTCTCCAGACACTCACAACAATGCACATGGAGACAGGCAGCATCAGCTTAGAGCCAGGGAGAGGACGGTCAGCGAGGTCAGCACAGGCTCGGGTATGGGCGATGGCCACAACAAGAAACCGTTTCAAGGTAGTTAACCGCGTCAGAGTTGGCCATCGTAGACCATTTCTTAGCCGTCTTCATTTCAACCACAAATGTCCCCACTATGACACCATCCACCGTTATTATTATGGCATTGTAAACTGTCTTGATATGACCTTGCGTGGTATGGGCTGATCATTATTTTTTATATAAATATTTATACATCGGTTTTAACGAATGGAGATTTTCTTTCTGTGTAAAATTCTTATTTTTGATATTCAAAACCAATATAAAATCCATGTTTTTTTTCCCTCAAGGTTGTTTTGTTGAGGACATCTTCATCAAAATTTACCCTTAAATATAACCCATTGCTCCCTGATGGGAGAGCTAAGACACAGTATGAGCCATTGCAGTCATAAGCAGTACTGTGAGTTTTCTAAGCTGCTTATGATCCTCTTCACATGCACTGCCTGAGAAACTTCTCACAACTCTATGTGTCGAAGCACTTGTAGAGGACCCGCTAACTTCCCAAGCTTTGACCATATTTACGAGTCGTAACTTAACTGCGGAATGTTCAAACCATCGAATTATTTAGACCTCATTGATGGGGATGTTTGAAATGAATGGTGTTGCACAAATAGCCTGTGATTCATAACCTTGAGTTTAAATCTAATTGCTTGAACAAAACGTGTCGTAAAATTGTCAATCATTAATAAATCCAGCCCCTTAAGTGGTATTTGGTTTTGGAATTGGTATCCTTAAAATTGTGTCATTGTATTCTTGTGGAGGGTAAATAGCTATTCGTAAATAGTATACTGTTTTTCAGACCTACTTGGCCCAATGGAAATTCTTGGGAACATCGTATATCTGGCTGAGTGCTTTCTGGTAGTGTCTGATAAATATTCAGATTTTTGCTGCTTTAAAACTTTTGAAACTTCACCATCAGGTCTGGAGAAGGCTATCAAAGATCTCCACAGACAGACAACTTCATTGGAGCGGCTGAAGCTGGTGCTAGACCATGAAATAGACAGATCCTACAAGAGCATGAAAAGTGTCTTTGAAGAGTTGAGACAAGGGTACATGCAAATTTATCTCATACAATCAAAGCTGCGTTACAAATATTAAATACCACTTGCAGTTTCTTAGATTAAATTTTTTTTTAAATGTGCTATGAATTTTTAAGATTTATATTGTGTCACATTTATAGTGTGTCACTGTCCTTTTTTTTTTTTTTTTTTTTTTGTTTTGTTTTTTTTTTTTTTTTTTTTTTTTTTTTTTTTTTTTTTTTTTTTTTTATTTTTTTTTTTTTTTTTTTTTTTTTTGGCTGAGTTTATTAATATAGCAAGCTGCATAACTTTGTAAAGCATATTTCTAAGTACATTGGAGAAAGTAGAAATGCTGGCTTAATCTATAAGTTTTTATAACCAAAGAAATTAGAAGGCTTGCTTTTAATTTTACAGCACACAAGCTGACAATTGCTCAACATTTTCTATCCCCAGCCTAAGCAACAGAGAAGCCCAGCTTATGGCAGAAATGGATGTGCTCAAGAAAGAAGCTTGTAATTATGCTTCCAACCCTTTTTTTTTCGTCGGCCCCCCCCCCCCCGACTCTTACACACACACACAGGCATGTAGGCCCACACATGCGCATGCACTCAAAGTCCAGTGCTGTATCTGTCTTAACTTGAGCTCAGTTTTTTGTTTTGGCCATTAGTGAAAATACTGTTTTTAAAATAATTATCAGTTTTCATGCAAGAGTGAATTATTTTAAATTTGACTCATTTGCATGTTGTTGTTTTTTTTGTTGTTTTTTTCTTTTTTTTTAACATAAAATTTCCCGTAAGACCGCTTCACTAAATAATCTGCTCAGATCAACGTACATAACTGCTGATGTTTTCGAGTGGTTTAAAATATAAAGAACTTCCACACAACCAGAAAAGTCGAGTTTGACCAAGCTTTTTTTACTGACACAGTTTGAGTGGGTCTTTTGAACGTGCTTATGCGTATCACAGCTCAACCCTCTTCATATCTAAGTTACGGCCTTGGGGCATTGCTAAGGCCTGAACAGTTTTCAGTTCACTCTGTTAGGGCATTTCTAATGACTGAACCATGTCCAGTTATCTCTATTTGGGAATTTCCAATTACCGAACAATTTCTAGTTTCATCTATTAGGGCATTTCCAATTACTGAACAATTTCCAGTTACGTCTATTAGGGCATTTCTAATTACTGAACAATTTTCAGTTACCTCTAGAAGAGCATCTAGATTACTTTGTATTCATCCTCCCCTTTGGAACTTTTGATAAAGAAATAAGTCGCTAGGGTTTCATGTCAATGTCAGCAACTGATTGCCCCTGAATTTGTGTTGTTTTCCAGCTGAGATGTTGGAGATGCGACAAGGCAAAGCAGTGGATCTGAGGAGACAGGTGGACAGGGCAGACAGGTTGAAGGAGGCAGAGGTCTCGGATCTTAGGGCAGAAATCAAGGTAGGCAGCAAGCCATCACTCAAACAGTATTCTGAAACTTTTATGAGAACAAAATAGCTCTCCTTCCAATGATGGTGCCAAGTGCACACAAATTTGACTTGATTCGTTTTGATTAGACAATGAGTTTGTTAGTTTTAAATAGACGTCTTGAATTATTTGAAAATGTCATATTTATTTTCAGCACTTTGTCAGTGAGCGTAGACATGATGAGGAGCTAGGTCGTGCCACACGTTTCCTCTTTGACTCTGATCATATGCTGGATGAAATGAAGAAATTTGGGGAAGGTCAGTTCGTATATCATATGGTGTGTCCATTGTCAGTGAATTCATTTGACATCCGTCCTTGGTCTTTCATTCTATCATTCATCTGTTCATGGCAGTATCAAAAACTATTAGACATCTACTCCTATTGTTGCTAGCTGCCTGTAATTAGAGTTAAACACGTGAGCTTGACATGATTTCAAGTTTAAGTATTTATGAAGGCCAGTTCTCTATAATAAGTTTTGACTGTCCTACAAGTTTATTTATTAAGGCCAAACTCATTGAGATGCTGAACATTGTTTACCCCCCTACAGTCGTCCATGTTAAATCTGTGTACACTGCCAGGAGGGCGTCAGTTGCATCTGTGGCCAGCAGCAGTGTCAGCCATGATGATGACACATCCCATTCTCAGGAGGTCAGCCAGTTACAGGACAGACTGAAGAACTCCCTCAAGCTCCCTGTAAGTGAACTTTTTTTTTAAATTACAGAACATCAGAATATATATATATTAATTTTTTTTTTAAATATGTTATTGTGCAAATCTCTACTATAAAAACAGTGTGTGTTGAAGGATGGTGTTAAGGGATAATTGGACCCTTCCATATTTTTGAAGATTATTTTTTAATAATCTTTTTTTTTAAAGTTTGATGAAATCCATCTAAGGATAAAATGTGTCAAGTCTGTTAGAGTCCACACAACAAAATATAAATGTATACTAAATCCCTGTACTTCCTACCCAGAGTACTGTACTCAATAACTCATGAGTACTCAAATCAACAACTCAAGAGTACTGTACTCCATGCTATATCTACGTTTGCTTTATATTACTTTCAATTCATCACTTTTTAAAGCAGTTTTAATTTGTTGATACTAATGAAAATAAAGATAGATTGTAGCATTAATTCTATTTTCTTATCCCAGTATTCATCCAGCCATGGATCTTCATCCAGTCCAAGGCCTTCATCCACTCCCAGTGATCCGCACAATACAGGTCTGTCCTTATCCAGAACTCCCACCTGTTTTTTTGTCAAATGAGAAGAAATAGTTGCTTTTTAATTTTTGTTGTCACAATGTTTACACAGCCAGGGGCAACCTACAATTGAGATATGTTTTTAAAAACATCCTTTGGCAGAATTGGTTTGTGACTTGGATCACGGATGAACAGGACGTGTGCGGCAATAATAAAACAACAAAATCACTTATGGTCATGCATCAACATCAGCGCATTGAAAGAGTAATAATAAGAAGACAATCCTGAAATGTAAAAAAAATAAGTTGTCATGTCACACAATGCTTGAAATTTATCTGAACAATTACACGTTGGTTGAAATTTTATTTATTGGGAGTGTCCTTTTAAAAAAATCATAAGAATAATTATTGGGCCGATTCTTTCCTAGTTAATTGTTGGGAAAGGGCAAAACTTTGATCAAGAGGCATACAAAGGCGGGAGGGGGCAGAGGGGGCTGATGTCCTGTGGTGCCAGACTAGTGAGGGGAACCAAAATGGGCTTTGGTGGTATTTTAATAAATGAGGAAAATAATGAGTTGAAGGGCTTGTAAAAAAAATGGATCTTGTCGTCGTCGTCGTCGTCCCCCCCCCCCCCCCCGGTCTGAAAAGTTTTTGTTGGTAAAGACACACACAAAAAATGGCTCAGGTTCATTTAATTTGAACATCATAAAAGTGGAAAGAAGGCTGACTCCCAAGACCAGCTTTAGGATAAAACTAAATCATGGCAGACATGTTCATGTTCTTTCATTTTATAGAAGTAAGAAGCAAAGACAACCCCCTCCCCCCCGACCAATAGATTTAAAAGAGGCTTTTTCCTTGGGTAAAAGTAAACACATTGGACATAGATTTTGCAGCATAATATAATGCAGTATAACTTCAACTTGTTTTATTGAAGCAAAAAATAATATATTTTTCCTCACAGATTTTACACCTAGTAAAAACAATCGCAGACGTCCACCCAACACTAGAGAGGGAACCGCAGATAGTTACAGGGGAGGTAATTCTGTCTCTACATCTTTAGGTAAGCTATTAGTTGCTTTGATTTTTAAATAGTTGCTCAGTTTCCCCACTAAAAGGAAGGAGCTAGACAGTACAGCATGGGTGATACAAAGTAGATAAAGTAGATAGTTTGTTGCAAGGTCACGTAAAGTGAATTAAAATGAGGAGGTGCTTTGCTCAGTCTCAAACATGTTTCGCACTATTCAAGAAAGCCTCAGTGCTAGTGTTTTTATGACAGCTTCTGTTAAAGAATTAACTGCTACAGTGTTAAGTTTGTTTGCTTTAAGCTACTTTTTATCAAAATGATTGTTAAACATAAGTTTAACTGTGATAACTGGTCGCAGAACACGTGGTTTAACTGTAATGGCTGACCACACTTGTTTTGGAGGCTCCATCGTCACCTTAGTGTTAATAATGCCAGCGCTTCTCCTCAGATGTCAATTCTAACAAGGCAACAACACTCACCTCGGCAGAGGCAGCCACGCCCTACAACAGCAATCTTCGCGGCACCAACTCGCCCAAGGACCCATCAACAACCTACAGAAACGGCAACACCAGCTTTCCTGGCAGGGGAGGGCGGGGCGGTAGCAGCGGATACGGCCCTAGGACAGGAAGCGGCGGTGGTCGAGGCAGAGGCCTGGGTCGCGGGAGTGGAAGGGGAGGATTCAGAGGCAGGGGCGGTTACGGGGGAGACAGCTCAAGGCCACAGTCCACACAGGGACAAAGCTACTACCGAACCCCGTCAGCCACCGCTAGTACTTAAATGTATTCTTATGAAGTCACTTAGTTACCAGACGGAATGTCAGCAGTATGAAATTAGTTTTCTAAGCCCAATGTTCATTTAAGCTTTTAGTGCACGTTAAAATGGCAGTATTGATAAGGACAGAGACAGCATGTTTTTTTTTGTTTTTTTCCATCACCTCCCAATAAATGTGACATAGTCTTTGTATTTATTTGTAAAAGCTTGTTGATCATATCAGTTAGGGGAATCATTTACAAATTAGCCTCTGGCTATACCGGAGACACAGCCCTTATAGAGAATGTTTGTATTCATTTGAATGTTCGAGTGCAGCTGGAAGCTTGTGAAAATATCAAAGACTGAGATAAAGTGGTAGACAGTACCTAGGGATGACATCTGGTTAAATGAACCATGTGAGAAACAGCATATAGCCACTCAAATGTTTTACATTTTTACATGTCCCTGTGTATTACTAGGAAAGTTCTTTCAACTGCATATCAGCAATATAAATGGTTTTAAACAGTCATTTATAAACCCCAACCCCCCCCCCTTCCCTTTTTTTTTTACCCCACAAAGAGATTACCTACATTTAGTTAAAATCATAGCAATGTGCAGTCTAAATTGTCTCTTTGTTTCAATTATAGTTCCAGCTGGCTATTTTTATCTTTACAAAGTTTATTCAAGTTCGACAACTTCCTGTTAAATCACTTGAGACTAAAGATTGCTACTCAGCGGAGTTACTCGTTCATTCTACTGGAAGGCTGTTACTTAAAAGGTTGTCAATTTACCTGGAGGCTGACACTGTAGCTGGAGATTGTCAATTTGCCAGATGATTGTCACTTACGATGACTGTCACCATGACAGAAGTTATCACTATAGGTGAAGATTGTCACTGTTTCTAAAAAATGTGCAGTCTAACTTAAAATTGTCAAACCGTATGAAGGTTGTCACTCTAGCTTAAAGTTGTCCCCCAGGCCAAAGGTTGTCACTCCAGCAGCCGACAGTTTCATTTATTTTGGTCAGTAAATCTGAGTCTTATATTTATTTATTCTTGGTACTCATGTACTTAATGTCCTTTTCTTAAATAATTTCCCAGTTCTGTCATTTGAGATGAAGTCAGAGATTTTATTGAACTATCAAAGAGTTTTTTTTATAACAAAAAGCCTTACTAACTAACAGGCATTTTAGCTAAAACTTTATTTTTCTTCATTTTATTGCCTCTGCCAGATTATTTATTCTTTTTTTTTAACTGCAAAGAATGCCATGAAATTTAAACCTGTTTAACTTCACTGTTCTGTCCTTTGGTTTATATTTTATATTTCTTAATTGTTTCACATTAATTCACTAAATTTTAATTTTAAAGCCACAGGATTAAACACGTTAATATTTAGATATTCAACAAAGTCAGTTTCTGGAATTTAAAAATCAATTAGTGAGGCCTACATTTTAACCCTCTTGGTTTTATTTGACAAAATTTGTTTGCAACAGCTTAAATTATCATTTCCTATTTCACTGCTGACAAATCTCTTCTTTGTTTCATGCCTGGAATTTCCATTTTTTTAGCTGCCTGCATACGCACATTTTTTTTTTCTCTTCTAAATATAAATTTAAGACATTCAGGCTTTTTTTTGAGAAGTCAAAGCTTTTTTACTTGTCCAAAACTCTGCAAATGTACAGATTATTTATATCTAAGCTAAATCAATGCAACTATATGAGTATCTTTGTATGAATTGACGTTAATATAAAAAAAAATAATCTCAGTTTCTCTTGGCATTTCAAGGTAAGGGGGAAGCTGAAGAGGTTTAGAGAATTAGGTTGAAGGTCAAGAAGGTTGAAGGTCAAGAAGGTTGAAGGTCAAGATGAGGTTGAATGTCTTGAGGATTTTGATGTTCAGGATGATATGGAGGGTCAGGGTCATGGGCGCCCGCAGAAAAGTTTCTAGGGGGGGGGGGCAAAAAAAATCAATTAACTTTCCAGGGGGGAGGCAAAATTTTTTTAGTAATGTTTTAATATAGTTTTAATTTACTGTAGCATATTTGTATGGTTCAAGATGAGGTTGAATGTCTTGAGGATTTTGATGTTCAGGATGATATGGAGGGTCAGGGTCATGGGCGCCCGCAGAAAAGTTTCTAGGGGGGGGGGGGCAAAAAAAATCAATTAACTTTCCAGGGGGGAGGCAAAATTTTTTTAGTAATGTTTTAATATAGTTTTAATTTACTGTAGCATATTTGTATGGTGAACGAACGGACAGGACATCAGCTTAGTTACTTTCTCTTTATTTTAATAAATTTTTTGTCTAATAATTTTTTATCCAATCAATCCGGGGGGGGGCAAGTGCCCCACCTTGCCACTACCTGCGGGCGCCCATGGTCAGGTTGTATTTCCTATGTTTGGTTTTGAGGGGGGAAAAGCTCTGATTTGAAAACTGGATAAGTATCCATTTATTTCCTCGTGCATATTTCCAACTGGAGTCCACAGACCAAGGTCAAGGTCATTGTTTGCTGTTAATACCAATTCAGGACTTCATTGTAAATATTTATTTTTTTTCCTTGGTGGCAACAAACTAATTAATATGAACCCACTTCTAATTTTTAACACATCATTACTTTGTGGTCACTTTGTTTATTGGAGAAGAATTATTTATTTTCTTGAACATCAGTTTATTATTAACTGTAACATATCCTTTTTTATAAATCTTTCCATCCTTCACTGTGGGAGAGGGGGGGGTGTCATTTTTATTTTCTTGTCTAGAATTTTTTTTTAACAAAAATATGCACCTTTCCTTATGTTGAGTTTTTAAATTTTTTGTATAACAAATAAAATAGCAGCCTTCATTTATTATGCTCTGAAATTAGTCAGTGATGGTTTCACTTGAAGGCAATCCCTTCTGTTGTCTCAGATCCTGTTGAGATCCGATCATAGTCATGTGAAAGCTGCGTGAACCTTGCAGGAGTTGAACATTTTTAAACATTGCTGAAACAGTTGTGGACTGGACAGAAAGAAAACAGGCAGAAATTTCATTTTTTTTGTCTTGCTAAATCTTTACTGAACTATTGTAAGAATATGACATTAAAATGTCTGGATTAGCTTATGATTTTTTTTGTCTGGTCAAAACAAAAATGAGACCAGTTTGTTCGTGAAAAGGAAAAGTTTTATTCACCTGGGATTATTATATAAAATATGATTACTGGTGTACTTGCTCTAATATCTATGTACATGTATACAGACACTACATTGACATGTTTACAGTCTAGACCTATTCAGACACTACATATATACATTTACAGATGCTAAATGATTGAACTACCATAATATCAGTCAATGCACAGATTTTATTTCTTTATGTACAACTGATTTTTATGTCCCTTTACACAACAGCCGAACTTTTGTATGACTTTTTTAGCCCCTGTCTCCAGTCCCCAAACACCTAAAGCAAGATCAGTTACTTTGTGCTGGAAATGACTCTGCTAAGAGATTCTGATGTGGAGATTATTTAAAGTTTACTTACTTATGGCAAGCAATGAAAAAATTCTATTTTTGGGCCAACATTTACTAAGTATTACTGAAATACGGAACCAACGGATCTTTAAAGGGAATTTAAAAATTTACATTGTGCTTCTTGACCTGTAAATTCATAACTATTATTACTGGCCTTGAAGTTTTAAAAAAATGTTATGTTTGAAAGGAAACTTCTTATCATCATTGCCCAATGTCTCCATCCATCTTTTTGTGAACCTGGACGTTTCATATTCTCGGTTAAGACTATTTTTAATAAATTTTTTTATGGTTGATTCCTTTGTTCATCAGTATAGATGTGCGGGACCTTAACTCTGAATGCACAGCAAATATTACTGAGTATTCTAAGATGCAATTATCTTATTTTCTAGTATTACTATGATTATTATTTATGTCCTCATTATTTCTTAATACAGTGGTCTCAACCTGTGGGTCGCGAACCTTTTGGGGATCGAACGACCCTTACACAGGGGTCGCCTAAGACCATGGGAAACACATATTTATGAAGTAACAACGAAAATAAACTTATGATTGGGGGTCACCACAACATGAGGAACTGTATTAAAGGGTCGCGGCATCTGGAAGGTTGAGAACCACTGACTTAATATGATAACATGATTATGCATTAATTTTTTTTTTCTTGTTTTTACTTCCATATATTTTATGGCTGGCAATATTCTTTGTTGTTTCACTACTTATATCCATTAACAACAGAATTTTAATTTGTAGTTTGCATGCCACGTCATGGGATTTTTAATTGTGTCTTTGTGTACTTTGTTGATTTTGCTTGATATTTGGTTCAACATTTATCAGAAACATTAACTTATTAACTTGGCAATTAGGTTTCCCCTTTTTATTATTTTTACCTGCAAGTTTGCAAGGACTCGTTTGTTTTTTTGGTTTTTTTTGGTGTCCTAAAATCGTCAGTGACAAAAAAATTATTAATTTCAGGTTCTGGAATGATCAGTATCTGAGTTGAATGTTTCCGCAAGCTTGTGCTGATCTATTATGTTAAGTTATCTGTTATAATTACCTATCTATTATGTTTAGTTCGGTATACTTTTATTTTCTGAATAGCATCTAATTTCAACCCTGCAAAGATTCCTCGAATGAAATCATTAATCTCTTTGATAAGTCAGATCCTGGTTTGTTAGCTGTTTTGAAGATTTTTTTTTTTTTCTCTTATCACTAATCTACATATTAGTCTGAGATCAGGGATTTTAGTAAAATATACTAATAGTCTAAATTTAGGGCTGTTAAGTGTATATAATATATTTTGAGATCAGGGATTTAAGGTGCAGTGCTTTGTTAAAAGACTGCTCTGCCCAGCAAATATGTTAAACATGGTATCAGTAAAATAAGCAGAAAATAAATTGTATTTATTCAATTCATTTTAGTGGTTGTGAAATAGAATCCTGACCTACATGTTAAAGCGGGTTTAGAAGAATTTATATTGCTCAAGAATTAAGAAATAAATTTGCCCCCACCCCCTTTAAAGATTTTCAACTCTACCAAGGGTGGATTGTTCCACTTCTTATGACATACATTGCATTTAACAAGCCCAAGTTACACAAGACCTTGTTGGAGCAGTTCTTTAACTAAAATCCGATTTAGTCTACATCTGGGTACCTGGTTGAATTCAGCATGCTTTCGACCGTCTTGTGCAGCCAGTAGAGATAGCCTTAAGTAACAGTCTACTGTTTGGACTATATTAACACATTTTCTTTGGGTGACAAACTATATATTTGTAATAAAGTAAAATTCTTTTGGAAAAAAAAAAAACACTATCTTTGTCAGCATGTTTTGCATTATCCTCATTTTTTTTAAATTTCATTATTTACTCATTTTTAACAATTTAATATTTCTTTCACTATCTTATGACATGTGCGTCTCACTTCAACTTTGGACTTCTTCACCGCTTCCAAGATATCTAAAGAAACCTCTAAAAACTAAACACCTTAACCACCAAAGCAATTGTAACATTTGGTTGCCCTTAAACATATTATTTTTAAAAATTTTACTTACCCTACCAAATTTAAACTATAATTTTAAATTATAAAAAGTACCCGGTATTTAAAAAATTGCACTTTTGTTTCACTGGCATTTTTAAAAAAAAACTAACTCTTTTTAGTTGTGCAACTTCTGGTTTAATAAATGGTTTGTAAAATTTTAGTTGGACTGTTAGAAATGTGCATGTTACTGGGTACGGAGAAATGTGCATGCTACTGGGTACGGTGGTTACATTTATATATGTATGTGTGTGGTGGTTGGTTTGGGTGCATGTGCTAGAACTAGGTAATGCTGAAATGCATGGGAAAAAAACTAAGTTCTTCATTTTTCCTATTTCTTGTTACCCTATTTGCCTGTAAAGAGCCTGTTTCTCCATTCTATGCATTCAATGTCCAATCTTCTTTTTTTTAACATCACGTTTGGTCATCTATACCCGGTATTTTGAAATTCATTCACAGATGATTTGACATGTGTAATTGACATTGTCAGCAAAGCATGTTTAACTTTATTGTGGGTAACCGGTATTGGGATGGGTATAAGTATATGTGGGTGGCAAGTTACAGATGGATTTCATTACTAGTGACATTCAACAGATGGTTCTCATAACATGGCTTTTTTTTTTTAACCTATTTTGCCTGTTTGATAAGCTGCATGAGAGACAAAGACAATCTCAGATAAGTGTTCAAAGAATATTGAAAA